CCTTATTTTCAAATATAATTGTACAAAGTTTCATTTAAATATTTTGGTTTTTTTAAAAAATAAATCAGAGCTAAAAAGGTGCAAAAACGCAGGCAAATTTGCCTGCGTTCTACTACAATCTAAGAGATAAGCTAAGTCAATGTAGTAATCAAAGACATTTTGGTATTCGAAGTCGATAGTAGGTAAGGTAGTGAGGTGTGTATATCTGGTAAGTATTGCAAGAGCAATTTCTCTTGGGTTTCCAATATCTTGATTGTATCAGCAACTAAAAATAAAATCTCAAATAGAGGTGCGAATAGAGGGTTGGTCTCGAGTTACAGTTAGATGTCCAAAATTTGTAGTAGTTTGGGAGGTATAATAATAAGCAAAATAGGTGTTGGAATTCCAATTCCAAAATCTTCTAAAATTACTTCAATGGAAAGTGCGAGGACTGGCTCTTGGTGGTAGGAAGCAAGCTTGGCAAGAGAAATCCAGGTTTAAGGCTTGTAAAGTTGTATAAGGAAGAGCAGAGTTTTGGGTATGTTCGTGTTCATGGTTTTCAATATATTTGTTGTATAGTTGAGTAACTCTATCAGTCATAGAGTAAAGTTCAAAGCTTATAGTCTGACTAAAATAGAAAAAGATAATAATAATAATTTTTTTTGGGGTTGGATCCTTACGCCTATACTTTGGCTCATAGGGAATCCATCAATTGTTTTTCAAGATTGGATCTTTACGCCTACATTTTGGCTCATGGCGAATCTGTTAATATCCTAGGATAATATCATCTAGGCACCAGTTAGAATAAACCAAGGCAAGGTTGTCATCTGCAATACTCAAATTCAATCCAGGATAACTATCCTCCAGTAAACAGCTATTAATTAAGAGGGGCTGGGATAATATCGTCCGGTAATGGTTTTAAAATGTTTTCTGCCATAAGGCACCAAATATTACAGTACTGTGGCCTTCTTAATAGCAGTACTATAACAATGACACAGCTACTGGGATCTTTCACAGGTTTATAGTGGTGTCTAACAGGTAAGTATAATTTCTGCTTCTTGGAGAAACTATACTCTTCTGTCTGTGGCACTTCGGGCAGACAATAGTTTATAGATAAAATATATATTTATTAAAGATAAATAAGATAGGCTATTCTTAGGTTTCTATTCCTAAAGAATCCTATAATATTACAAGAGAGAATTTAGAGAAGAGGAGAAGTGGTGTAGATAATAACAAGTCAGTTATTATCTCAGGTCTAATGTTAACTTGGGGAAATTTATAGCCTTTTTATATCTTTAGAGCTAATCGCTAATTGTTGCTAATTGTAATCACTAATCGTTAAGCATTAAGTGTTAATCGTTAAGCGTTAAGCGTTAAGCGTTAAGCGTTAAGCGTTAAGCATTAAGTGTTAATCGTTAATCGCTAATTGCTAAGCATAATCGCTAATCGCTAAGCGTAATTGCTAATCGTTAATCGCTAAGTGTAATTGCTAATCGCTAAGCATAATTGCTAATCACTAAGCGTAATCGCTAATCATAAATTACTAAGTATTAAGTGTTAAAGCTAATCGTTATACATGTCTTTTAAATTCTTCTCTAAGATAAATATAATAATAACTAATAACTAATAAAATACAAATATCAAAATAATAAAATAATACTAAGATAAAATAATAAACTAATAAAATAAAACTGTTCTATAACAATAGTTCTCAGATAAATCTGATACTTTACATATATCTTTTTCTTCTATTGTTAATTGTCAGAATAACAATTTTTACAAGAACAGCACACCAAAGTTTATGGAAAAATACATATAAGTGCGTGAGAGGGAAAAGAGCGCACTCATTTTTTTAGTAAATTATAGATTATTTACCCGATTCAGCCCTTCTGATCTATGACATTTCGAGCATTAAATATATACGTATATACGTATTATATACCCCTGAAAAATTAATCATGATATACAATACCAATACAGCAATACAATATACTACTGTAGTACTAGTTTTTTGATATTTCGGTTAGTTACTTTTATTTTTTTTTGATTTTTTTTTTTAAAAAAAATTATTATCTAATTACATTCCAATTATGCTCGCTTTTCCTTTCGCTTACTCTGGGCTTCTTTTGCGCGACCTCCCTTTAATTTTTCAACACTCATTACTACATCATCTGGAGGTTTCGGACAGAGTTTATCTTAAAACTCAGTTGGACAGTATTGGCGAATTTTGTTCCAAAAATCTACTTGTTTTTCTTCTGGAAGACCTTTTGACGGAAGTTCACGAGGACATAAATTTACTAGTTCAGCGTCTTTTTTTAACAACTAAAATTCATCCCAAGAGTCTGTTGTCTTTATTTTAGCTCTCATTAATCCAGGCTTTTCATGAGTAAATTAAAAAAGTTGATATTTTTGAATAGCATGTGGTTTTTGATACAATGTACTAAGTGCTGAAGTCCAATCACGAAAAAGTCCAGTTTGTTCTTCTAAATTTACAGAAATATTATTACTTGCACTTCTGTTTATTATGTAAACCAAGTGATTGATACACCAAGCTTCTAATTTTGCGTACTCTAGCTTAGTACAACCAAATCCACGATCAACAGAATTTCGTGTATGACCTTTAATTTGAAATCGATAATTGATTTTTTGAAATATTTTGATATTACATGCCTAAAGAAGATACCAAAGAAGGCACGAATTTTTATTTTGACCGCCACAATTGTCTGTTCATAAACTAATTTCCTCTGCTTCACCTGTTACAGAAACAAAAAAATGGTGCAACATCGAAGTAACTTCATTCGGCTCTTTAGATTCTTTACCCTTGGTATAAATCGCATGCCAATGTTTATCAATTCCTTCATCTACTAAGCCAAATTGATGCACCTTTAGCAGTGACAGATAATACCATGTGCCGGGCTGTTGAGGATCATGAAGTAATTCCATGTTTTGAGCAAAGTTGAATGAAAAACACGGAAAGAAGAACGATTACAGCCTTTTGCTTTTCATATATCATCCTCATAGACCTTTCTTATCACCTGATAATCTGTCACATGATTTACTAATTGTTCATCGAGACCTTCATCTACTTTATTACGGCTTTCTTTGAATGCACGTTTATATAAAGTACATTCATCACATACATCTTTGGATGGTTTTCTTATTACTATTTTACTAAGCTTGGCATCGTTTTTCCATAATCGTCGAAAAGTCCAACCGCTGATACAGCTTTCTTGATTTATTGAATTGTAAAGATAAAGAAGGCGATTGTAAGAATAATGAGATGATAAAAGAATAATATCATCCTTCTCATAATTTATGGTTATTTGTCCATCTTTCTTTTTACGTGTATACTTTCGAACAGCCTGTTTTTCACCATATTGATCACCAAACGACTTAATAAAAAGTTTGACTTTATCAACTGTTTCATTGGGTAAGATATTTTTAGACTTTCAACCAATATTACCGTAAGGTTTGGGTAACATTAATTTATGTTCTCGAATCCAATTAGAGAAATAGGTGATAACTTTTTTACTACACATCCAAAATGTTTGAAAAAAGCTAAAGCAAACGTTACCGAAATAAGAAAGTTGATAGTTTTTAGCAAATTTTGCTGTTTTTTCGTGAAGATTAGGATTAGAAGTAGCAAGAAGTATTGATATGGAATGGTATCGTTTTTTCTTGCCCATAACAATACTTTCTAATGCCAAAGACTGTAATAAAGTTAATGGAACCTTTTCACTACATTTTTCTTGACACAAGCAACATTTTTGAAGCTTTTCAATAAGAACATTTATGCTTGCTGCAAGAGAATTATTAGGATCCTTGGATGTAGACTCTTTATCACTTGTACTTCCCGATTCTTCATCAGAGTGTGAGTTCTCATTTTCATCATAGTCTGATTCTGAAAGAAAAATAGGTTCGTAATGAGTTTCACCAAATTGATCTAAATTTTCTGGAAATTCCATCTCAAGTATGAAAAAAAATTTTTAGATTATTAATTTTTAATTGCTTGTGAACTAAAAAAGATCAGGTCTAAAGCGCAACTTATATGTATCATACATAATATTTTTAACTATTATCTTATGTTTAAATGCTTGAATCAATAATTACTAATATTGGCCAACATTAGTATATTAGAATTAACCGAATGAATTCGTTTATTGTAAATTATTAGCCGAATCAGAGTTTATAGCTGGCTAACATTAATGGTTATCAATTTGGCTAAATTATTATTATTAAGGGATAATTTTAGATTCGGCGAAGTTTATGAAACCAATTGAGGATTTCAATAGATACTTATCTATTAAGCCCCATTTGGACTTTCTCAATAGATAGCCAATTGTCAATTCTTGGTTCAGATATTACTAAATTACTCAGGGCATATTCGATTTTAAAAATAGCGAAAGAGATACTGTATTACATCCGAAAAAAATAATGCAATTACAGTTTTGTAATAGAATTTAAAAAAAAAATTATGTCAAATTTCCACTATGATACTGAATAATTCAATAAAACCGAAAGACCAAATAGTTTATTTTTATTTGTACAATGTTGCTAATAAAAAAAAACTTCATATAATATTTATTCATAAAAGATGCAAAAATAAATGAACGTGTTTTTCTCTAAAATTTGTTTAGAAAGTTGTATACATATTGTTCAAAATTTTCTACTTTGAATACATCAAAAACATCAATGAAATTATGCTCCAAAAGAATAAATTGCACTTTTTGCTCGAAATGTTTAGGATTACTAAACTATAAATCTATTAACCTTTATCAATTCTGAATTTCTTCTCTGTTCCGGCTTGGCAGAATTCCGCTTAAAAGGTTTATTTGTTTGTTTAAGAGTAGCTCTATGTGAAAGGATTATTTAGAAGGCATTTTGTCAAAAAAAAATTTTTTTGAAATCTAATCATGACGTTTTACTGACATGACTAATATAACGATAATTTCAGGGGTTTTGAAAGTCCGATATCATCAGATCAGAAGGGCTGAATCAGATAAATAATCTATAATTTACTAAAAAAACAAGTGCACCCTTTTCCCTCTCACGCACTCATATTAAGTTATACAAATATTCGTGGTGATGGAAATTGTGGTTTCCGTGAATTGCTATATCATTTGGAAAGCCCAAGGATGAGTGACCTTCTATAAGACATGATATTTTCAATAAGCTAGCTAATCGAAGAAACCATTACATTTAACTATTTCTCAAAGTGAAAATGAATATAATAATGTTGTCTTGATTGTATAATGAGAAAAGGGTCCTTGTAATATTGACAATTGAATGCTAATGCCATCCTTTGGATACCCATTTGCAAATACTTTTCAACAACTGATTCACTATTTTAGCAGGCATCAGTGTTTAACATTTTTACCTGATAACATTCTACTGAATAGAAATCAACCTATTGCTTTTGCTTTTATTGATATGCAAAACCATTATATTGCTATAAAGCTGAAACTGAATACTTCAGTTCTGACTATTGTTCAAAGATGACAAAATATTTGTTTAGATAAAAGCAAGATTTAGGCAAAGTTGTTTGAAGGAAGAATTGCACATTTTCAGAAAGCTCTCAAGAATAAGAACATTACAAAAAACCAAATTATTTCTGATACTTCTATTAATTTATCTTGAATGTAATCTATCTTAGTGTTAACCATTCCATAGATCATAATATATATATTGATAAATTTTATAAACACAACAGAATATAAAGTCAACTCATAATTAGACAATAGGTCATAACAGATTTGTATTGTTATGTTTAAACTAATTATATTTGTAGAATTTGGTCCTAGTAGATGATGAAGTGAAATTTGCAAATAAGTATTGCTTTCATAAAAAATTATTAATTTATTAATTTTTGAAACTAATAATTATATTAATTTATTAAAGTATGATAATATAATAATATAAAGCATATAGGGTGTGGCAACTTGGTGAAGTTGATAAGTTATCGCACCCCCAAGCGGCAGGACAAGAGTTCGAATTCCACTAATGATGAAATTCAGAATTTATAAAATGCATTACGGTATACTGTGTGACTTCTTGAGGAGTAGTAGCACCTGTAATCTTGGTCATATCAGCTTGTTCTGGAAGGCTGTGTAATGTATAAGTTATGCAGCTATATAAATCTACAGCTCGGGCTTATGGCACACAGAAGCCCGCTTGGCAAGTTCTGAGTAGAGAGGTACACAGATCTTCGACAGTATTACGTAAAGGATGATTATCAGCAATCAGACACCAACAGTAAACTGGACGAGGACCAGGTGTTTGGCAAGACACTAATACCAACCAAGCCGCGAGTATACAGGGATGTGCTCTGTATAAATGAGAAAAAAAATTCAATCGGAATACCAAGGGGATGCCCACTGGTCCTTCCCCGGGCTATCTGGATTGGAAGTTTGGGGTACTGTTGGTGAAGAAAAGTCGATGATAGTCTGTAAAGTGTGTGCTGGGATTTGAATAAACTCTGCAAGGACAGAAGTAGGTAATAGTAGTGGCTTTGGCTCGCAAATACTTATTCTCGGACTTGGCATAAATTATCGAAGTCTAGGTTAGCCGGATTGTAGGTATGGAAAGCTCTAGCTAACAACGCCTCAAGGATAAATTAGTTCTAAGGGTATCGGAAAAGCATCTGAGACTTTTTACGACAAGTAATTGTGATAAAAATGTATTGGTGATACAAGCTGAGTTTGCATGTAAATATACTAGGATTCTATAAGTGAGCCTTTTATCTATAAACTTGAATAAAAACCGTAGTTCCAAAGAGGCTAGTTATAAAAATTTAAAAAAAAAAAAATAATATAAAGCATATTTTAATATTTTATTGAGTGCTGCCAAATTACAACTAAGAAGTAAATATTTAAGTTTTTACTATAGCGAACTTAACCCTAAAAATTTATTATCACATAATTGAATAGGTTCGTCATATTGAAAACTTGAATATTCGCTTTTACATTTTAATTTGATATCACTTATTTGTAAGATTCTATTTAAATTAAAAACTTCAGGTTTAATCATTTAAATAAATCTTTTTTAGCAGTAGTAAGTAGAGTATGATTAATATAAGGTTGTTACCTTGGTAATTATTTTGTACTCTGATATTTACTTATTTTCGACTACTTATTTCACCTGTACAATATATAGTTAGATACTATTATTACTTGTATTGATAGTTATACTTGGAAGAATCTTTAAAAGTTATAATTGACAAATATACACTATTGCTAGTTATTTCCAAAGGTAAAAGCTATGTAATTATCATTGATACCTAAATTATCGAAAGGTAAAAGCTCTATTACTAATATAAATGAAATATATATTATTTGCAAATTGTGACTAGTTCGTAGATTGTGCTTAAATATAATTTATCAATATTCTTTAAAGAGAATCTGTTCTGCACGTCTAAACTATGAGTTGTATTATATATTTTCTAAAACTTGAAGATTACAATTAAGCTTTATTCTTGAAGTTTTGTTAAAGTTTACTGCTGTTTTAATAATAATCAATACTGCTTTTTTATTTAATACATTTTGCTAACATATTGAATTTTTGTATAACTGTGATATAGTTCGATGGCGATCATATATACATATCAGGGACCCTGAAAAAATTTGAAAAGATTATATCACAATAAATTGCAATTTTTAGTGGATATCGCTCTATAACACAATTTTATGACTTTTTCATGCGTAGTAGGTTACATGATAAAATTTAATTGGTTAGTTATTTTATTTCACCAATCAAATTGCATATAAATTCGTGTAACTTAGTCTATATAAAAGAATTTATAGCGAGACAATTTTTGATCAATTGTCAATTTTAAAGGATGAGCGAATTTTAAATATTTCAAATTTATAGTTATTTGAAAAA